TTCTTCCTTATATCTAGTCTGAATCTACCCTCTTTTAGTTTAAAACCATTATCCCCTGTCCTGTCACTACAGGCTCTATTAAAAAGTCTGTCTCTGTCCTTCTTATAAACCCCCTTTAAATACTGAATGACTGCAGTAATGTCTTCTTGGAGCCTTCTCTTCTCCAGAATGAACCACTCCAACTCTCTCAGCCTGTCTTCATAGAAGAGGTGTTCCATCCCTCTGATCATTTTTGTGGTTCTCTGGACCGCTGCAACAGGTTCTTCTTTTAAATCGTAATTCTTCCAATTGAATTCAAAACATCGTTGTGTCTTTTCTTCATGCTCAGTCATGCTCCCCGATTTCCTCTTTCTTCTAAGTTTTGTTTGTTTGTTTTTAAACTTACTGTAAGGATATTAGCCAGTTTCTGCCCATTTTATATTGTTTGACCAGTTCCTTGTCTATGCTGCCGGTCATTGCTTCCCAGCCTGACTTTATTCTTCAAAGCTGACAAACCCTCAAGTGTTGGGGGAAGCTTAGTATGTGAATTTATGGTCTGATGTTTGTGTAGTTAATGATCCGAACCAAATCCTAAACTGAAACAACCTCAGGTTTCTGATTCCAAGATACACAGCACAGTCCCAGGCCTGCTATGACAGCCAAGTGACTCAGACCTGTCTTGGCATATGACAGGTGCAGGGACAGATTAAACAGCCAGCGAGCTACTGCCACATAAAGGCACACGACCACGTTATGCTCCCTGTTAATAGAAGCGAGTGCTTTGCAGATGAGACAAGCTGTGTGCACAACTTTCTGCAAATGCCTGCAAGAAAGTCCTTTGGCATAATCCAATTTGTCTCTGCTAAAAACGTGTAGGTCTAATTGCAGACCGATTTCTTACGCGGAAAATTGTAGCAATGTTCTTTGAAACTGAAAAAAACCACCCAGGCTCCATGGTGGTACTCAGTCTGAGCAGAAGAGGCTGTTGTTGTAAGTGGCTCTGAGCTATTTCCTCTGCGGTTGCCAGCAGATAGCACTTAACACGTGAGCTGCTCCATGGTTTGCAGTGCAGGAGGGGCGTCACGTTTTTGTCAACAGTTGAGGCACAAAGGAGTTTGGAAAGAAAAGCACCTGTTGTTGAACTGTCCAGTGAGTAATGAGAGTTAACTCCTTTAAACCAAGAAAAAGTGAACCTCTCTGAAACCCAGGGATCCTTGGCTGTATATTTCATCCAGGAACAAGAGAATTGTTTAGAGCTCATGTAGATGGCAAGAGTCTTCTAGTTTGTTTCCAAGACTCGTGCTTAGGTGGGTATCACCTAAAAGATGTGGGCATATATGAGAGAGAAATATGGCCTGGAAATAACTGCAGACTCGTGATACTGAAGGTGTTACATAAACCGTGCTCTAAAAAATCACACAGCTGCACTATTTCCATATTAAAGCTGTCTAAAAGGAATGCCTGTGTGTTCCCATTCATAACTGCTTTCAGCTTTATGATCATCTGCACTCAGAAGTTTTTCATACTGCATCTTTTTTCATTTTTCTCCTCCTCTTATCCAGACGAGGTCAGCGAGTAATGGGAGAGGAGAGCTATTTGCCTTTTTTCTCCCATACTCTGCATCACCTTTCCTTCAGTTTCCACTTTTCCAGACAGCTTGTCAGGTATTATATATTATTTTCTTAATAACAGGATGGGCTTTTCTGCACCCATCTGTTTAACACTGCCGTTGCGGTACTTTGATACCAGGTTTGTTGGAAAAATGCAATTTCACTTCCCAGCTGGTACAAAGCTATGTTTAGTATACTCAGTGCTGGGGGAAAGGTGAACTACCTTTATATTCCCCATTTGGCTACCGAGCCTGTCACTAGCCAGGCACAGGGGCTCAGAGGGCACAAAGGTGTCCCAGAGCCCAGGCACTGAAGAGGCCCAAACGAGGGAAGGATTTCCTGGCTCGCTGCTGCCGCGGACCAGAGTAGTAGTATAAGACAGCTGTTGCACACGCAAGAATCTGGACCTTTGTTTTTCATCCCCATCTTTGAAATCAGGGAGGGTTTGTCAGCGCAAGGCAAAGAGATTCGTAACAGCCAGCCTTTTCTTCCTGCCTGCTGAAACAGCCCACTCCAGCACTTCCTCAGGGAGTAGGAAATGTTGCTGTAATGATAAGTGTATATTAGCATAATGTCATATCAATAAGACTTTTGCTGTCTCCTCCACGTTCTGCATTCTGGCAAGACTTTTAAGCTAAACAGAAATTATGTTTACAATCATGTTCTCTGTGACATAAACATAATTTAATAAAAACATTTTTGGTTCTTAGAGGAAAAGAAACAATTTCAAAAAACAGTGCAGTTGTCGAGTACATCTGTTTTTTCTCATACTGTGATCCATATTGACTCACTGGGTAACACTGAGCAAAACTTAGTGCTGTTGAACTAGACATAGAAAGACAGTTCTGGCTTTTCAGAATTGTCAACTTTTGAATCACCATTTGACCTCATCAACAGGAGCTGGACACTGACTGGACACTTCTAGTTGGTAGATTGGATGGTAGATCTCAGATTTTTAGGTGTTATAGTCTATAACTAGATGTGCCAATCATCCTGTGCAGGCAAACTCTTACACATAGAAGTCACCAAATTATTACACAGAAATGAAAGGTATCAAATACAAACTGAAATACAATTGTACTTGGTCTGGAGCTCTGGACTGGAAAAGGTGGTGTGGGGTAAGCGGGTTATCAAACCTGCTTCGGCAAAGATTCTGTGTGCTTTCCTTGCTGGTGTGGAGCAGGTCTCCTGTAGACAGAAAAGCTGTGTGATGGTTATGAAACCATTGAGAAATGCATAGTGCACTGGATGGTGTTACAGGAGAGCTAATGGCCCCTAAGTAACAGTCGTTTCAGAAATTAGTACCTAACCTTAGCA